AGCAGGAATTGCAATGCATCCCGAATCGGTGGAAAAACCAGCCACCAGCGACTTCAGTGGGACGGTTGGGGAAATGCGACCACGGAGAGAATACTGCATGCCAGCCCTGCATCCATGTTTTCTGGGTGTGATGGTCACATGAGTTCTTGCAGGAGAACATAACGAACCTGCTCTTGAGGTGCACGCTGGATTTGGGGCAAAGGGTCAGGATGTCTGCAATGGGCTCTCACGTGGTTCAGCAAAAATACATATAGGAAAGCAAGAGTGCAAGCCATGGGCACCAAACAGGGGTGGGGGTGGGGTGTGCACAGGGTTCATGCCATTTTTCTCTAAGACACAGACCTGCTTGCCCCTGCAGCCAAGGGTGGTGAAGGGGTCTGGGGTGGGGGAAGGAGAGGGAGGGAGGGAGGGGAGGAGGAGGGCGGAAGGAGGGGGTGGCTCTCTCCCCACCCAGCCCCGGCACCCCCCTCCCCAGTCTCTTGGCTTTTCTCTCTCTGGCCACAAGATGTCGCCGTGTGGCCCTACTAGAAAGTGGTCTCCGTTCTTTAAAGCTCTTTAAGCTCATGAATGACCCACTGCCCTTTCTCTCCATCAGCTGCTTCTTTTCCCATCTTGCCTGAAGGCATGGGCTTCCTCTGGTGCGTTTCCTGGGGTCACCTCCCACTCTGCCCTCCACGTGGTAATTCCCCACTAGGAGGGTCTCTGCTGCCCTCTGGTGGCCGTTGCCTATAACACCGAACTCACACTTCCGGAGCCCCAGAAACCTGAAATGGCTTTGCAGCCTCTCCTAGTCCTACAAGGGGTGGGTGCTCCAGGGAAACAGAACCAACTGAATATATGAGGAGATTTATTTTAAGGAACTGGCTCACGTGATGTGGGGCTGGCAAGTCCGAAATCCACAGGGCGGGCTGGAAACTCAGGCAGGAACCGAAGCTCCTGGAAACCTCACTTTTGCTCCTAGGATCTCCCAGTGGTGAAGGGGTGAAGCCCCGCGCCCCTCCCACCCGGCCATGTCACTGGGGGTCAGGTCCTTTACTTCAAACCAACTGACTGCAAGGCCGACCGCATCCCCCAGTGCCTTCCCAGCAACCCACGCGTTCGTGTTGCATGAAACGGTGGGTCACTACGGCCCGGCTGAGATGACACAGAAGACTGACCATCGCAGTTCGCTAACTGAAAAGGTTGCATTTTAAAGTGAAACGTCACGTCTCCAATTAATGTTGTCCTGCTGATTCCCAACTCCAACTTTTTAAATATCCCACATTTGGTAAGAAAAAGCCTATTCTGGTTTCTGAGTGTATGAGTGAATGAGTGTGGGGCTTGGAGCAGGACAGGCCCAGAGCTGCCCCGCAGGTATTATTATTGTTGCTGTTGTGATGAGAATTACCTGCATGAAACGTTAATGAAGTTGGAAAGAGACAGAGGGAAGGAGGGAGGGAGAGAAATCATACGTAAGGGATAGAACGAGGCCCAGGGACGGAACTGAAGCTTTTCACCAAATGTGCAGGAAGCGAGGGACGCCAGGCGTAGCTCATAGCCACATCCCTCCGGTCTCCACCCCTGCTGTCACGTGGCCATCTTCCCTGTGTGTCTGCTTCCTCTTTTTACAAGACCTCAGTCGTTGGACCAGAGCCTGTCCTGCTCCAGGATGGCTCTGCTCAGCTAATGACATCTGCAAAGACCCTATTTCCAAATAAGGTCACATTCTGAGGTCCTGGGTAGACATGCATTTGGGGGGACACTATTCCGTGCGGTGCAGCCCCCGAGAGAGACGGAGCTGAGAGCGTGCAAGGGATCTGACCGGTGCCAGGACGGCTGCTCCGCACAGAGCAGGGACACAGGAGCCCCTCCTGCGGCCTCATCCAGGGAAGACCTGCACAGTGACTGGCAGAGCCTCGGGGCACCGGTCAGGGCCACAGTGTGGGAAGTCAGGGGAGGTGACATGCCCCAGACAGAAAGAAGCTGAGTCATGTGTATGCATTGCTCAGGGCCCACAGGGAGCACTGAGCTTGTGCAAAGGGACGTGTGGAGTGATAAAGGGACCACGCAGAGACGTGGGGGGAGGGGGCAGGTAACCAGCACAGGACCAGCCACCCCAGAGCTGGCACCACTGTGGGCAGACAGGCCAGGAATTGCCCTGGGGGCTGCCCTGCCGTCTCTTTAGTGATGCACCAGGGACTTATTTCTCCTAACAACAAGGCAAGGAAAGAGAGCCACGGTCCCATTTGACCGAGGAGAAGACTGCTGCCCAGAGAGGTCAGGTCATTTGCCTAAGGTCACACAGCAGGGCTGGGATTTGAACCTGTATTTAGCTGACTCTGAAGTCCTCGCTTTCAGGGTGTGGAGAAAAGGGAACCCTCCTACACTGCTGGTGAGAATGTAAGTTGGTGCAGCCACTGTGGAGAACAGTATGGAGGTTCCTTACAAAACTGAAAACAGACCTACCATAGGATCCAGCAATCCCACTCCTGGGCATATATCCAGAGAAAATTATAATTTGAAAAGATACATGCACCCCTATGTTCATAGCAGCACTACTCACAATAGCCACGACATGGAAGCCACCTAAATGTCCGTCAACAGAGGAATGGATAAAGAAGGTGTGGTACATATATGCAATGGAATACTACGCAGCCATTAAAAATGAAATAATGCCATTTGCAGCAACATGGATGGACCTAGAGATTATCATACTAAGTGAAGTCAAACAGAGAAAAGACAAATATCATATGATATCACCTACATGGGGAATCTAAAAAAATGATACAAAGAAACTTATTTACAAAACAGAAACAGACCCACAGGCATAGAAAACGAACTTATGGCTACCAAAGGGGAAAGGGATGGGAGGGATAAATTAGGAGTATGGGATTAACAGACACACTCCTATGTATAAAAGAGATAACTAACAAGGACCTACTGTATAGCACAGGGAACTATATTCAATATCTTGTAATAAACTATAATGGAAAAGAATCTGAAAAAGAGTGTCTGTGTGCTGTGTGTGTGTGTGTGTGTGTGTGTATCACCATGCTGTACACCAGAGACGAATACAACACTGTAAATCAACTGTATTTCAATAAACATAAATAAAGCCCTCGCTTTCATATACACTTAAAAAAAGAAAGAAACACTCTTGGTTATAAAGACCTTCAGACATACACAAAGTGAACAGACTTGTGCAGCGGGTCCTCCATGGCAAGTTACCAACATTCTGCTTTTCTACCTTCCCCTCTTCCCGCCCAATCTCTTACTGTTGTGGTTGTTAGTTGCATATTTCTTTTCTTTAGGTAAAATGTAGATGCACTGAATTGCACACATCTTACAATTAGCAAAATGTACCATACTTAGGTTAGCACCATTCTGTATGTGCTGTTCTATTTTCTTCTTTTTGTGTTGTCTTTGTTTTCTTGCTTTTCTAGCAATGAGCAGATAGTGTTTATAATAAGGGGGAAGAGACCAGTAAAATGATGATTAACACGTTTAAGATGTCCCTGTGGGCTGGTGCCCTGTGCCCTCAATTCAGCAACAAGCAGCGATTCACTGTGCTTTTTCGCAAACCCCTCCTGAGTAGCCAAGTCTCCTAGGAGCCTGGGGAAGGCCGGGCAGCCTTCTCAGAGGAGGAGCCCCAGCAATACGACCCACGAGCACAGCAGGGCACAGTGCCAGCAGCCCTAAGTCCGGTGCGGGAACCCCAGCGCTGCCAGGTCCACAACAACCTCCATCTTCACCGGGAAAATGGGAGCCTCTTGGCGACCCCACCTGGACCAGCGCAAGGCTGGTTGAGGCCTCCTAATCCACTAGGGGAGGCTGGCCCGGGGAGAGGTTGCCTTAGTGACCAGCGGAGGCTCCTCCCAGGGTGACTGCGGGTGGCCACGTCGCCTGGTAACCAGGTGGCAGCGTCACTTGAGCCAGGACCATGCAGCTGCACCCAGCCCCATGTGGCTTCTCCCAGGCCTGTGGGACCCCTGGGGCCCTGTCCGTATTCCCCAGGACCAGGACAGCTGCTGTCTCCAGCCACAATGAACATCATTCTCTCCAGGTGAGCAGCCCCACGCTGGCCTGGGTTGGGAGGGAGGGGGTGGCCGGGTTTTCGGGGCCAGACGCACCAAGGCAGATGGGGCCACCTGGACTGCTGGGGGGGGCGGGGCAGTGGTAAGGATGCTCTCCCGCCCACACCACGCGCACCTGGAGGTCTAGAGACCATGGAGGCTTCCAGAATCTGGCCTGTGTCTGCTTCTCCAGCATTTTTGCCCACAGTCCTGGGGTAGCTAAATTCACAGGGGCCACCCCAACTTCCCTCACTCATCTCTACCTGGGAAACCCCTCTTCATGCCTCAAAACCCCATCAGGCATCACCCCCTCTGTGAAATCGTCCCCGACCCCACTGCCTGCAGCCTGAATCTATCACTGCCTTCTCAACTTGCCTCTTACCCAGCTGTTTCCACGCCTGGCTCCTCTGGGGCTCACAAACTCGAGGGTGCCTCTGGACCACCTGATGGGCTTCTTTAAAAATGCAGCCCCCTAGACCTCACTCACAGGGAGTCTGGCGGAGAGTGGGCTGGGATTCTGCAGGCTTAACTTGTGACCCAGGTGATTCTGAATGAGGGGGTCCAAGGACCCCATGTGGAGGGACAGGGACTGCGGCCGGCTGTGTGACCTGGAGCAAGATGCTTCACCTCTCTGGTCTCCGTTTACCTTGTTTGCAGGGTAATACGCACGATGGGCACTGCAAACTGTAAAGGGCTGCACCAGTTAGGGTTTGTTAGGAGGACAAAGGGCCCTCCTCTCAGCTTCCAGCTTCAGAGATGTGATTAGAGGGATGCACAGGTTGGGGGCTTTGGTCATACAGAGAGAGGATGGGGCAGTGACCTCCTGGGTGGGACGAGGGGCAAGGAGAGGGTGCAGTGGTGCGAGAGGGGGGCGACTGTCTGAGGCTGTGCCCCCTTTACTGTCTCTGGAAGATGAAATCCAGCAGGTCCTTCACTCACTCTGTATTTTTTCATGGAACACCTGCGATGGGCAGGCCCCAGGCTAGCGGCACATAAAGATGAGTCAGCAAGCTCCCCACAAGCCCGACCCAGAAAGATGCAGAGGGTGACAGATATCAAGCACAATAGGAAGTGATACATGGTGATAAATGGCATGCCAGGAGGACAAACTAAAGGTTCAGGGCTGAGGGAGGGAGGAGGGACCCACGGGCGGAGCATGGGGTCTTTAGGGCAGTGAGAGTTCTCTGCAACATTGTGATGGTGGAGGCAGGGTACTGACAATGGCACTTGTCAAAATCCACGGAATGTAGGACAGTAAGAGGGAACCTTCATGTAAACCAGGGACTTTAGTTAATAAGAATGTGTCACTATTGGTTCACCTTTTGTAACAAAGGTTGGGCACTAAAGGGAAGCTGTTGATTACAGGGAAACCCTGCGTGCCGGGGAGGGGGTATGTAGGAACCCTGTGTACTTTCCACTCAGTTTTTCTGTAAACCTAAAACTGGTCCCCCCACCCCCCCAAAAAAGTTTATTAATAAAGATTTACGATGTAGAGAAGGGAGAGAATTTCAACAGCTCGGGGAAAAGATAGAATCTGGGGATTTCAGAGAGAAGAGGTCGTTGCAGCTCGGCATGGTTGGAATACAGACCAACTGTGCTGGGAAGATAAAGCCCCTCTCAAGGGCCCCAGGGTGGGAAGGGCCAGGTTAGGAGCCAAGCCCATGTGTGCACTCCGGCCCGGCCACTGACCAGCCCTGTGACCCCACTGGTCTCCCGCATCTGCCTTGACGGCCCAACCCGGGGACTTTGGGCATTATCCTGGGCACCGGACGCCTGGCCTGGGTTTGCCACCTACGAGGAGGGCGGTGGGTGGGTGACCCCTGCTTTGCTGTCGTGGCCTGGCTGGGCGTCCCTGCCCAGAACGGCTCCTCAGACCCCCACCTCCGCAGGGACAGCAGGTGTGGGTGACGGAGGACACAGTGACCAAGCAGCTCATCGACTTCGCCAACACGGAGAACCCGGAGATGCGGGCCGCCCTGAGGACCTTCGCCGAGGACCTGGCCAAAGTGCAGGATTACCGGCAGGCCGAGGGGAGCAAGTGGCCCCAGTGGACCCATTTCCCGGGGGGGATCTGAGAGTTGGAGCCGGCCGGCAGGGTCCACAGTCAGCGGACGCATCTCCTCCAAAGGTGTCCCCAGAGTGAGGACGCTCACATCACTCCCTCCCCAGGGTCACACCTCAGTTTACAGGACTGAGAGCCTGGAGGCTTGTGGGGGGCAAGGAGGCTGCAGGGAGTTAGGGAGTTCACTCTATCTTTGCTGTGATGATCAGGGCAGAACAACATGGCCATCTGAGGCCAGCACTGTCTGCCATTAATCAGAATAATTCAGAATAACCAAGATAGGGCTCTGGGGAAAGAATTAAAAATCAAATCCCCATGTGGCGTATATACAGTGGAATATTACTCAGCCATAAAAAAGAAGGAAATAATGCCATCTGCAGCAACATGGACGGACCTAGAGATTATCATAGTAAGTGAAGTAAGTCAGACAGATAAAGACAAATACCATATGACATCACTTCCACGTGGAATCTAAAATATGACACAAATGAACTACGAACCAGAAACAGACTCACAGACATAGAGAAAAGACTTGTGGTTGCCAAGGGGGAGGGAGCATTGGAGAGGGAAGGGTTAGGAGTTTGGGATAAAAATAAAATAAAAATAAAAATAAAATAAAAATAAAACAAAACTCCAGCCAACCCAGAAAAATCCTCTCTGCGATGGTAGAAAAGAATGAAACAGCTTTTCTATTGAATAAGCGTTAAGCCAGAGGTAACGCACGTCACAGGCGATTGCATAAGCGATGGCAAAGACAGAGAAACCTCACTCCCCCTGAGGACAGGGAAGGGGACAGCGCCCTTTGTCACACAGGACTTCCTAATTCCACCTGGCGATTGGGTGGCCACCTGGGCTGGCTAATCATCTTTATCCAAAGAAAAGTAAAACCTCATCTCTCTCTGACAAGCAGATAGGTACAGCTGGGAGCCAGGCACCAGGCAAACTCCCTGGAGACACTGTCCTCCCAAAGTTTACTGTTCAGAGGCTTCTTGAGCTTTTAAAAGCTTTATATCCATCTCAAAGGGACAGAGAAAGGATTTACAACTGCATGTTTTCTCAAAGGAATACTGCACAGAAAGGGAAGGGGTAAGTCCCTTTCCCTTTCAGCACTTGGGAATATTATTTCTTTTTTAGGTTTGCGGTTACAAGAGCCATAATGGAGGAGGAAGGGGCTGGGTGGGGACTCCAGCTCCCCTGGCCCATCGGGCAAACCAGACTCTCAGGGGACCCCATCCTCCAGGCACCAGCCTCACCTGGGAACCTGTTAGAAAAATGCAGATTCTTGGGCTGCACCCTGAACCTGCTGAGTCCGAACCTCTGGGGTGGTGCCTGGGGATGAGGGCTTTAAGAAGCCCTTGGGGGGACTCCTACACCTGTCCTACTGTGACACCCCCAGGGTAAGCGCTTAACCCACACTAGCTTTAACTGTGACCACTGTTACCAGTACTGGTATCGTTTATCCTAGTGTCAGGCTTGGCACACAGGCACTGACTCAGGGGCGTGAGGTGTCCCCCTCGCTGACCCTGCCATGTCCCTGGATGCTGCACAGCGCAGTCAGCTCTGAATTCCCCGCCAGTCCGTGTTCCAGGTGGCTCTGTCAGCATCCCTGGTGAGATCTAAGGCAGTCTGGAGAAATGAAACAGTGCTGGGTCCCATCCAGTTGCTAAAAATCCGGGGGCGGGTACACTCCTTATACCCATTGTACAGGCCAGGAAACAGGGCTCAGCGAGATGAAATGTGTCGCCCGTGCTCACAACCCCAAGGTGGGAGGAGGGCCCACCGTGCAGCTGCGGACATGCAGAAGGCGCTCTGTAAATGCAGGCCAGTGGCCGCGCAGCCCCCCAGCATCTCCCTGGCTCCACCAGCTCCGACTGTGTACGTCCGCGTGTCCCCAGGTCGAGAGGCTGGAGACCAAGGTGGTCAACCCCCTGAAGCTCTACGGGGTGCAGATAAAGCAGACCCAGGCGAGCACGGCACTGTGGCGTGGGCCACGTGGGGGGCTGGGACCCCAGGAAACCACCCTCCTCCTTCCATAGGCTGAGATCAAGAAATTCAAACACGTCCTGAACAACGAGCTCAAACAACTGGGAAAGCTGGAGAAACTGAGGCAGAAGTCCCCTTCAGAGAGACAGACCATCGTATCCTTCCCGAGGCAGGGGCTGGGGGGCAGTGAGGCCGGGGCCGTACATCACCGTGCCCCCTCCATGGGGGCTGCTGGCTAACCTGAATCCCTAACTGCACCTGTTTCAGTCCCAGGTGAGCGTCACAAGTCTGTCTGGGGAAGGCAGGCTCGCACGCAGGTAACGAATGGCCTCACAAAACGGCGAGGTGAGCTTTACCTGGGCGGGTGTGTGCAGGGCCCTGGGCTTAGGACAGGAGAGTCAGAGGCTCTGGGACAGCCAGCCATCAGCTGGGGCTCAGGAGACCTGGGTTCTGTCCCATCAGCGATGCTACTCAGGGAGTCAGAGAGACACTCCCCTCCACAGCCTGCTTCCTTGTCAGGGTTACCTACTTACTGCTCACAGGAGGTGGGTACTTCTAGATGGGGAAACTGAGAAAAGTGACTTACCCAAGGTCACCCAGAGAGCTAAGGGGCAACCCCCAACTCAGCTCTGTAGGCCTCTGGCTCTGAAATCCAGCTTCGTCACGTGCCAGGCCTGCTGTGGAGTCAGGCCATATAGATGCCAAACAAAGCAACCAATAAGTTAATTACCTAAAATCGCTCCACATGCGGGAATTAATCATCAGCGAACGTGGAGTACCCGTCATAGCAGTAGCTCAGCTGAGCCCACTCTCATTCTTGCAACAATCCTGCAAAGCAGGCCTTACAGCCGTCCCCTGTTTGCAGGCAAGCACACTGAGGCTCAGAGGGGTTCAGTGACTTGCCTGAGGTCACACAGCTAACGAGAGGGTCTGTCCAAGAAGCAGCTGCCCCTTTCGCTGTGGTCCCACTCAGCCATTCCTTCCACAACCAAATTGGCAAGAGACTCCCACGACGCAGGACAGCTGGCCCAAGGGTGGGGCGAAGGGACAGAGAATGATCCAGAATGGGGCCCCCACGACACTTGGTATCTCTGGGGCCAGGCGGAGACCAGCGTGCAGAGGGCCTTGGTGGATGCCAGCCACACCTCCCACCAGCTGGAGGAGACGGTGGATGCCTTCCAGGAACAGAGGCTAAAGGACCTCCAGGTGGGGGTGGTCGGTCCCTGGTTGGAAGCACTCTGGGCTGCCCCGTGGGCGAGCTCTGGTGTGTGTGCACCTGTGTATGTGTGCGTGCATGTGTGTTCCCTGTGACAGAGTGTGTGTGTGAGCTTGTGCCTGCTCGGCTGTCAGGGCCCTGATTCCCAGGACAGTTCATCCTGGCTTCCTCCTGGCCGCGGCAGGTAGAGGCCGGCTGCTCGGGCAGCTGTCTTGGACAGCTGTCCTGGCCGGAAGCCAGCAGTGGCAGCCGTGCGCTCTCAGCACCCGGCCAAGCTCCCCGCCTGCCAGGAGAACTGGGCAGAGTCTGTCCCCCCAGCCCCTGCCTTTCCGCACAGGATCCGCAGGACCCTCCTCCTTTCCTCCGCACAGCCCCAGGGGCACAAACCCTTCCTCTCTCCACCCCGACACACACAGAGCCCCAGGCCCAGAGCCCCAGCTCTTACAAGAGGCCTCAGGGAGGCGGGGTCTTTAAGGGCAAGATGGTCACAGAGACCCCCGCAGCCACTCTTGCCCCCCTGCCACTTTAGTCCATTTTCCAAACTGCAGCCCCAAGGATCTCACAAAAGGCAGCTCTGATTTGTCACTCCTGGGTTTAACACCCTCCTGTGCTTCCCTCATTCGAAGGAGAAAGGCTGAAATCCTCCCCAAGGCTTCAAAGGCCCAGCCCCGCCCTCCACCCTTCTCTTGGACACACCACTCCAAGCTCCAAGAGTGCACCAAGACCTTTTATACCTCAGGGCCTCTGCACAGGCTGTGTCCTCCACCAGGAGGGCTCTGCCCTTACTCTGCATCGAGTTCACACCTGCTGTCCTTCAGAGAAACTCACCTGGACCCCCAGACCTGGTCCGACTAACTGTTAACACTCTCTGCTCCGCTCTCTCTGGAGGCAGTTATCCCAGGGGGTGGATTCATTGTATCTTTAATTCACTCGTGAATCTCACAGATGTTGTACACACCTACTATGTGCCAGGCGCTATGCGTGAGGCTGAGGACACCATAGCCAGCAAAGCAAGGCCCTGTCCTCACAGAGCTGACACTCTTGGGAAAGAGAGTTCACGCAGACCCTATGATGGTAGAGAGCAGGGGAGATCTCACTGCTCCACGCCACCTCCTATACTGCATGTCGAAGCCACAGAGCAGACCCCCTGCCTGCCACGTCCCCTCCTGGGTCCTGGGCACCAGGCCTAGGGCCTGGCACTCGGTGGGTACTCAGTAAATATTGGGAAAATGAATGAAAGAATGAACGAACGAAGCGAGTGAAACAGTGGTAATTACTGCTCAAGCATCCATGTTGCAGGCAGAACCTAAAAGCACCAGCAGACCATTATCAAGCACCTGATGTTTTCGAGGCCAGCGAGAGCACACAAGGTTCTGCACTGTCGGCGACCAACAGAAGCATGCATTTTAACATGGGCATCCTTTAAAATTGGGGGAATTCATTTGTAAGAGCTGCTTATCCAAACCTCCAAATATTTAAAGAGATAAAAGCCCAAACTTGAAATAATCATTACCACTATATCAGTTTTAGGTCACGATTCTAATGAAATATCTACAAAATAACTCTCTGGCTCCTCTAAAAAGAATGTAAGCCATGCTTTCAAGCAGCGGTTCACTCACCTGAGCGTGCGTCAGAAATGCCCTGGCGGTCTCCTTAAAACGCAAACGGTGGGCCCACCGTGGCGTCCCATCCAGTGGGCCTGGGTGGGCCGAAGAATTTGCATCTCTGACAAGCTCCCATGTGAGGCTGGTGTTGATGAGGGGCCCGCAGGTCGAGAGCCGCGGCGCTCATTGAATCTCTCGTAGGGCTTTGTGAACTGGGACCACTCCTGTCCTTCCTGTGCAGACGAATAAACTGAGGCTTGAGAGGATACGTCATTTCCTCGGGGCCACAGGCCGGCAAAGGGCAGGACGAGGCCTGTTGTTGTCACCAGCACTGCCTCCCGGGGGCGGGACGGGAAGACGCAGGAGCCAGGGATTTCCAGCACAGTCTTTGGCCCTCTCGCCCCTTTCTTCTCCCAGGAGGCCTAGCGGCTTCCTCTGGCCCGCCTCTTCCAGCTGCTTCCCACGTGACGGGAAGAGGTGTGTTTCCAAACTGCAGGCTCCTCCCCCAACAGCAAGCCTGTTTCCTGCTGGGGCCTGCCACGTTGTAGGAGCTTGTGCTGAGCCCAGCACACAGTGGGAGCTTGTGCTGGGCCCAGCAGGTAGGAGGGGACTGACACACAGTAGGAGCCTTTGCTGGACTTGACACAAAGCAGGAGTTTCCCCTCAGGTCTGGCACACAGTAGGAGCTTGTGCTGGGCCCAGCAGAAGCCCCCACTGGAGCCGGACATGCAGTAGGAGCTCTGTGAGAGCTTACTGAGCCAAGCTGAACCATCTGATCAAGAGAAGCCAACGTTTCCATCACTAATAATGTTTTGACAAGCTGGCTTATAAGGTTGTGGGGCTTCTGGGCCAGTAGCATCCCCTCCCCCTCCCATAAGACCCACTTCCAGCCCGTGAGTGACAGAGGCTGAAAATTTGTAGCCATCAACCTGACCTCAGAATGAGAGAAGTGCAAGCTGAGTGGAGGAGCCCAGGTTGACAGAGCTGAGAAAAGGATGCCCCTCAGAAAGTCCACAAGGCCTCACACATTTCTGGAACAATCTCTGTGCAAGGCAGCTTTTGAACTATGGGAATGCATTATCTGTTCAACAAAAATAAATTAATTAGAAATAATATATTGAAACTCCACACCTAGGACCTGCCCCACAAGGACAACTAAGCCCCCGCCCCCCCCCCCCCCCCTGTACTTTAGGGTCCAAATAGTGATGCTACATCAAAAAGTATACCTCAGTAAGTTACCCAGGTTTCTAAAGAGCAGAGCCATCTCTTGAAATTTATTCTGCCCCCCCCCCCCCCCCCACACACACACCCTATTGGTCCATGTCGAGATGACCCCAGGACAGTCCTTCTGACAGTGTTACTTATGTGATCTGGGCGTCTCTCCCAATAGAAAATTTTTTCGGACTTTGTGACCAATGAGATGGTCTTCCACGCCAAAGCGGTGGAGGTGTATTCCAGTGCCTTCCAGACCCTGGAGAGCTACGACCTGGAGAGAGATCTGGAGGTGGGTCACAGACATCTCATCTCCTATTTGGGGGGTGGGGCCGAATTGGAGGTTGTTTTTGTCTTTTTTTTTTTTATTATTGACGCCTAGTTGATTTACAATGCTGTGCTAATCTCTTCTGTCCAGCAAAGTGCCTCAGTTTTACACATACGACATTCTTTTTTAAAATATTCTTTTCCATTGTGGTTTATCCCAGGAGACCCAATATAGTCCCCTGTTCTATACAGTAGGACCTTGTTGTTTATCCATTCTATATGTAATAGTTTGCATCTGCTGATCCCCAAACTCCCAGTCCCTTTCCCTCCCACCCTCCCCCTTGGCAACCACAAGTCTGATGTCTCTGTCTGTGAGTCTCTGTTTTGTAGATAGTTTCATTTGTGCCATATTTTAGATTCCACATATAAGTGATATCATATGGTATTTGTCTTTCTCTGTCTTGACTTACATCACTTAGTATGATACTCTCTAGTTGCATCCATGTTGCTGCAAATGGCATTAGTTTGTCCTTTTTTATGGCTGAGTTGTTCGTTTTGTCTTGATAGAAGTTTTTGTTGGCAACATTCTGGAGTTTCTTGAACTTTGAAGGCTCATTGTAATGAACTGTTTTAAATATCTGCCCCTGGGCAGCGAACCCGAGGTGGGGAATTTCCCCAACACCCGTCTCTCTGGACCATCCACGTACATGACCATCACCTGGGTTGAGCTGTACCCCAGTGAGGCCCATCCCGTCTGGGTCTGCAGTGGGGTCTGCAGCCTGAGTAACTGCCCACGGTCTCTCCATGGGGCGTGGACTTCCTCACACCACGGCAGCTGGTCCAAGAGTGAGCATCAGAGAATTACACTGTGTCATCTTCCGTGACCTAAGCTCCGAAGAAACTGAGCATCCTGTCTGCCACATTCTGTTCCTTAGAAGTGTGCCATTAAGGCTATATTCAAGGGAAGGAGAATTATAGTCCAGCTCCTGATGGGAGAAGTGTCAAAGAATTTGTGGATGAGCTTTTAAAAGCATCATAGGAGGGTCAATGAAGGTTGGCTGGGCTCTGGTGCATTCACTCAACTCTACTTTATTTTGGTTGGGGGGCGGTGTGATCTCTAATCTTCCTGCATGACTATGGACATGTTACCGTGCCTCTGGGCCTCAGTTTTTCCCATCTGTAAAATGGGATGACAATGCCCACTTACCGCTCTGCAGTAGATCATATGGAATAAGAAACAGGAGACTCCTAGGCGGACCTGGTGTAGGTGGGGGTCCCTGCAGTAACCTGTGCACTGGCTTTCTTGTCCCACGTCTTTCTTTCCCGCTGGCACCCCTTTCTTTGTTTCCTGACCGGATCCAACCCTCCTGGCAGGATTTTAGAGCCAAGATGCGTGGAGTTTATGGGCGTTATGACGCTCGGCTGCTCACGGACACCACCCTGTCCCCGGCTGTCCCGTGCTTTCTCGCCCAGGTGAGCACTGGGGGTGGGGCGTAACACCTGTGACAAAGGTGAAGAGACCAGAGACCAGAGGCTGGCTGAGAACTCGGGTCTGAGAAGGGAGTGCTTGCTGCCTGGGGAGTGGGAGGGTGGCCCTGAATCTGACCTGGACCTGCCTGAAGCAGACTCAGGGAACCACAGTGTGGTGAGGGGCGTCTCATGCTTTCTGAATAATTCTCTTGAAAGGCAGCGGAGGAAGTATGGTCCCCAGCCAGACTGCCTGGGTCCAAACCCACTGCTCCCAAGCTGTGTGACCCTGGGAAAGTTCCTTAACCTCTCTGTGCCTTAGATTCCTCACCTGCAAAGTGCGGCCAGTGATAGTAACTCCCTCAAAGGGCTGTGGTATTAGGCGAACACATCTACCCGAGACATTTAGGAAACAGTGCTCGTCACTGTCATTATTATTACTGCTGTTGTTGTGATGATGATGATGATTTTGTTACTGTTGTTGTTATGTATTTCTTTTATTTAGAGCACCCAGAGCACCGTACGGAGCCAGAGAAAAGAAGCAGCCAGTGAGGACAAATCGGCCGAGGAGGACCCCGTGGAGGACCTCAGGGGACAGGGAAGGGGCTCCATCGCTAGGACGAGAACTCCCCAGTCAGGAAAAGGGGGCTGAGGCTGGATGCTTGGAGGCTCTGCCGTGTGCAAATTCCATGTCCTCTGAGTCCCGCTTTCCTCATCTGTCTGGCAGGAATCACATCACTCAGCTCACAGGCTGCTCTGGGGATCAAGGTGCCCAGAAGGACAGCTGGTACATGGCAGGTGTTCAATAAACATGGGTGCATCTCACCCTGACTCCTGCTGGGTCTCATTTCCTGTCTTATGACTGGGCTTCTGGGTGTTTAAGCCCGTGTTAACGTGTGTTACCGAACCAAACTCGGGTCCATTTGCCTGCGTGCGGTAAAGCCAATTTACTGACACCGGGTTGTAGTGAAGGAAAGGGCAGGATTTATTGCAGGTGCCAAGCAAAGAGTCCAGGCAGCTGGTGCTCAAAAGGTCCCAACTTCCCGATGACTTTCAGGAAAGGTTTTTAAACACAGGGTGAGGGAGAGAGACCGTGGGGTGCGTTATCAGCTCTTGGACATTTTTCTTTTATTCTTTTTTTTTTTTGGCTGCACCGTGCGACTTGTGGGGTCTTAGTTCCCCAGTCAGGGGTCGAACCTGGGCCCCCTGTAGTCGAAGTGCAGAGCCCTAACCACTGGGCCACCAGGGAAGTCCCTTGTGGACATTCTTCTGATTGGCTGGGGGTGAGGTCACTGGGCCAGTCCAGTTAACTTCTTTCACCTGTGGTGTTTCCGTACCTGCAAAACAGCTCAGAGGACGTGGCGCACAATATTATCTACAGCCCTTGAGGAGGAACTAAAGGTCCTTGGCTTTGTTTAATGGCTGAACTCTTATTATGTTGTCCTGCTTGACTATTTTCCTTAGCTTCTGCATTTTCTCATTTCTCTGATTAAATTTATTCTTTGGAACTCGGGGAAGGCCTCGGAGGCTAAAGTTTTTCTCCAAACAAGAGTCAGGTGGAGGACATTGGGTGGGTCTGTCCCGGGAAAGCCCCGTAGAGTCCTTATTGGTTGGAGGTGAATCATCTCCCAGGGCTGCCCTAACAAAGCACCACACACTGGGGGCTTCAAACCACAGAAATCTATTCTCATTCAGGCTGGACTCCAAGATCAAGGTGCTGGCAGGTCTGGTTCCTTCTGGGGTCTGTGAGGAGAATCTCCGGGTGGTTCCCAGGCCATCCTAGGTGCTCCTTGGCTTGTAGACACATCACCCTGATCTCCACCTTCACCTTCACGTGGTGTCTCCCTGTCTGTGTCTCTGTGTCCAAATTTCCCCTTTTTATAAGGACACCAGTCATAGGATCAGGGGTCCACCCCATTCATCCTAACTAAATATATCTGCAAAGACTCTCTATTTCCAAATAAGGTCACATTGTGAGTACTGGGAGTCAGGACTTCAACACATGAGTTTTGGGGACGCAATTCACCCAAACCATAGGGACGTGATGTGCGGGGATGACCTTGGGACCAGGAACACATCACAGAAGTGGAGGAGGGGTGGGGGTCCGCAGGCTCGGCCGCCTGCCTGCCTGGGCCCCCTGGGTGTGCACATTTGGGGAGCAAATTCCTGACAGTGGCTGGGGGCATCTGAGCTCTGGGTCACTCGGCTCTCAGCACACCTCCTGCTGCCTCCTAGAGACTTCTGCCAGGGAGAGGACGTCCTGCAGCCGTTCAGGATAAACACTATGCTCTGGAGCCAGCTAGCCCCTGATTTCATTCCCCACTGCGGGTACCATGATTTCCTCATCAGCAAAGTGGTCAACAAAACCTTCCTCGCAGGTGTGGTGAAAAGGGAACCCTCCTACACTGTTGGAGGGAATGTATTATAAACTGGTGCAGCCACTACAGAAAACAGTATGGAGGTTCTTTAAAAAATAGTGTTACCATATAATCCAGCAATCCCACTCCTGGGCATATATCTGGAGAAAACTAATTCAAGAAGATACATGCACCCCAAGGTTCTTTGCGCACTATTTACAATAGCCAAGATACGGAAGCAACCTAAATGTCCATTGACAGATGAATGGATAAAGATGTGGTACCTATATACAATGGAATACTACTCAGCCATAAAAAAGAATGAAATAATGTCATTTGCAGCAGCATGGATGGAACTAGAGATTATCACACTAAGTGAAGTAAGTCAGACAGAAAGACAAATATCATATGATATCACTTACATGTGGAATCTAAAATATGACACAAATGAACTTATCTACGAAACAGAAATAGACTCACAGACGTAGAAAACAAACTTATGGTTACCAAAGGGTTAAAGGGGGTGGCATAAATTAGGAGTATGGGATTAACAGATACACACTGCCATATATAAAACAGATAAACAACGTCCTACTATATAGCACAGGGGTATCTTGTAATAACATATAATGGAAACAAATATGAAAAAGAATATGGATATGTACAACTGAATCACCTTGCTGTACACCAGAAGCTAAAACAACATTGTAAGTTAGCTACATTTCAATAAAAAATTAAATTAATTTAAGAAAAACCCAAACCCTTCTCATGGGATCATTGCAGGATTAACGTCTTCGCCACAGTGACTTTTATTTCCCAAAATCCAGCTCCAAGCCACCTCCTCAGGGAAGCCCACCCTGATTCAACCAGGAAGGACACCCACTCCAAAAATAACTAAAACATTCTATATGTTTTAGAATAACCTTATCATAGATTGTATATCATCACATTTACAGTATATATTTTATCTGTTATATTTTTATACTCTTAAGCACATATATGTGTGCGCATGCACGCACAGACAGACACACACAAATGTACCTTTTTTTAACCTCAGTTGTGTCTGAACCCCACTGATAGTTTCTGAAGGAAAAGGACCTTCTTCATCTTGTGGTCCTGGAGCCTGGTGGCGACTGACACACAGTAGGGGCTCATTAAAGGTAAGTTGATGGGGCTTCCCTGGTGGCGCAGTGGTTGAGAGTCCGCCTGCCAATGCAGGGGACATGGGTTCGTATCCCAGTCTGGGAAGATGTTTTAAATGGATTCCTATAAAATTTAGAGAGAAGTTTGGTGTTTTTCTTTTTCCTTAAATGGGCAGGACCCTTCCTACAGGTACAGCTGCCAGGTTGATTTATTTCCTCATCGGGACAAGGAGGAAAGAGATTGGAGTGAGAACCACGTTTGCATTTCTCGCAGGAACCGCCTCGGATGGGTGATGTTTTCCCTCCCATTATATGGATGAAGAAACTGAGGTTCAAAGAACAATTTGGCAAAAGGCACGCAGTGGGTTGGTGGGGAGGTAGAACGGGACCCAGGCTTGGGTCCCTGTGCTCTTCAGGGTCCTTGCTGCCTTCAGAGGGGTCCTTCCCTGTCACCAGGAGCTGCCTCTGAATCCAGCCCCTGACCTTCAGCTGCTGGACTCTCCTGGCACCAGAGGAAAAGTCAGGTGTGGAGGCTTCTACCACCCGGGCCAGTCCTCCAGGCTGGGTGGGAGAACCAGAGACAGGGCGGTCCGGCCCCCGCCCCACTGAGCATCAGGGCACATACCCCAGCCCATCTCAGGTGGCCAGGCCAGGGCTGGGGGACCTGCCTGCGCCTTTGCCCTGGGAATCATCCCATCCAGGGCCCCTGGAACTGAGTCCATTGCTCCGGGTACCAAGGACACTTCTTCTAGGCCCTGTGCTGGTCCTCAGGCTTACCTCCCAGATCTGTTAGTCTGGAGAGTTAGAACATGGCTATTGACCTCTTATAATCAGAAAAAAAGAAAGCCCAACATTTCACAAAATACGTCTGTCAAACCAAGTTGTAAGGGATGATGAAGGTGTCCTGTGTGTGTCAGGCAGGGGTGGTAATCGCGTTCTACTCACAGCCCCCCGACCCCCAAAAGCAAGAAGTGAGGCAGCTGAGGCTCAAAGGCAAGACCAGGATATCAGCTGGAAGGGGCTGGAGGCATCTTGGAGGCCAAGGCCCCTCCGTTCACTAACACACCCTGGCGGTGACTCAGCGGACACTCCCTCTGCCCATCGGTTTGGCCACGACACACACACACACATCTGCACGAGACCCAGCTGCTCAGCCTAAGTGGGGAGAACGTCTATTTGACCCTAGAAAAAGGTGTTTTCTCTGTCGTCACTGAGAAGATTGCAAATTCTGTAAAAAAAAAAAAAAAATGTGCTCACGGACGTGTGAAAACAAAAATTCAACAGACTGACTTCTTTTTTTTTAAGATAATTTATTTCAGTTTCTGCCTTCTGACAATCTGAGGTGAAATATATAGACGGTTTTTTTTTCTCTTCACAGGAAACAGCTTTGATTTTAGCACTGTTCTGAGAGCTCGACCTTGAAACTTTCTCCACCTGAAAATATAGTTTGTAGAACATCGCCCCGTGGGACACGAAATTGCGTAAGTGTACATATAACATACCTGCATCACGGACCCCGACTCCTGGGCCACTAAGGGCAATGCGTGGATATGGCCAAGGCAAGTTCAGGTCCGAGACCAACAGGTGGGAGAGAAACAGGGGATGCAAGTGGGAGACCCTCCTGAAGCCCCAGAGGCCACAGTTAGAACCATGAAGCTCTCAAGCTGACACGTCTTAAGCGGAGGTACCTGCCATTTGAGTTCTAGCCTTTCCTACTGTTCAGATGGTCAGCCCGTCCATCTCAAGGCGTCCACGGGAACCTAAGCAAGCCTCCAGCACAAGGACAGATCAGGGCCCGCATGTGCAGCCTGTGTGTGGGAACCGGGCCTGCTGAGCACTTCCCTTTCATTTTCGCGAGCGCACCGTCCAGGACCAAGGTGGGGACAGGCACAGCCCCCCGGGGTCCGAGGGGCATCACAGCAGCAGAAGCCCTCCTTCCAGCTCAGCGACCCCGTCTGTGCTGCTCAGGAGGGCGCCAAGCGACAGCGCCCTGGTCTGACCCTGCAGGACAAGCGAGGATGCAGGGTCACCCCCGCCTGCACAGAGGTCCTGCAGGAAGTGACAGGAAGACGGGCAAACCCAGACCATCCTGACTCGCTCCTGGAAATGACGAGGTGTTCCTTCTCCAATAGTAACCAAGAACTCTAGAGTGGGAGCAGTGTCGCCTTGACTCCTGGGGACACAGCCAGGGGGAAGGTTCCCCCACCCCGCAGCCCTTCACTCATCTCAAGCTCAGACAGACCAGCCAACTCAGGGACACAGGCCAGCGCCAGGACACCCAGAGACGAGGTGGGCCGGCCATCCGAGGTGCTTGCTGGGGAGGGACTGCAGGGAGATGGTGACAGAATGAGGCCGGGGGGGCCGGCCACTCGGAGGGTCTGGGCGTTGAGGGTGCTCCTGGGTGGGAACCATCTGGAGAACCCACACAGGCCTGTTCCCGGCCGCCGGGCGACAAGGACGTACTGGGACATGTGACTTGACTAAGGCCTGGCTCCAGCCCAGGTCTGAACGTCGCACACCAGCCAGTTAGGGGCACTTGTCTCCAATGCCATTCCGCTGTACAAACTCAGCTTCAAAGGCTTTTCTAGCAAAACTCACCCTCAAGAATCGTAAAAAGGGATCAGTGATTTGCAGGAAGACGGGGAGATGGCTGAGTGGCAGGAACAGTGGTTCAAGGAAACTAAAAGGCCGGGGGTGGGGCGCTGCGAGAAGAACCCCGGGACCGAGGGGGCCGTGGGCCCCCAGCCCCGCAGCTCTGCCTGCGGCTGAGGAAGAGGGTGGCCAGGGGGTGACCAGCCTGGGACCACCCGGCTGCTACCCCTCCCCCGAGGCTGGTGCTGGGCCCTTCTCCCCCTGCTTCCCAAGCTCCCTACTGTTCTGGCAAATGACTCAGGCCCCTGGCTGCCCAGCTGTCTCAATTGTAGGTGACTTGGCCATACAGCTGACCTAACCGCACCGACCTGCTGGGATCCTCCCTAACTGAAAAGCCAACTCGTCGGGGTGCAACAACGCCCAGGAAGGTCAGGCTTGTAGCTGGAGCCCTGACTGCTGGTCACGGTCACCTGTGTTCAACAAAACTCCTCGCAAGCCCCTCTGTGGCGTGAACACTGCGCTTCTCACAGTGGGAGGCTGCAATACCAAGTGCTCTGGGTGATAAACTAACCCACTTAAAACAGCCAACGGAAAAGCAACCCTCAAGGCTGCCACCTTCTCTCCGCGGCAATGAACGTCACCGTCTAACTGGGCAGGGAGAGGTGAGTACGGGCTCCACTGGTTCCAGCTCCCGGGAAGGAGGAAAGAGAAAGGTGAGGCGGCACCTCTGACTCCAGTCCTGGGTCTCTGCCCTAAACCCAGCGTGGGGCTTGCCCGTGACCCTGACCGTCCCGGGTTTCACTGGAGCACAAAACTCACGAATTGGACTCTCTCCAGCCCTCCTTTTGGCAACTTAAGAGCTCCTCGGTCTGCTTTTTTCCCCTTTTGGCAATAGGAAAATCATGGTCTACTCCCTTTCACTGTACAAAGAACTGATAATATCAGAACTTGGTTCTCCTGCCTTTGATTAAATGCGCACACACAGTAGATATGATCTGAATACTAGCACAGCCCCTCTCAAACATCTAACAATATTGCTAAAACTGCAACAAAAGCTGAAGACGTACAAAGCCACATCTCGACATCATCCTACTTCCAAAGCAGGGTACTTTTTACTTGGGAGAATTCGCTGTTTTTGGCTCATTACGATTCACACAGCCCTGAAGGGCAGACAGCAGGAGACTGAAATGCCATTGCTAACGCAGGCCTTCAAAGCTCCTGGCTTGGGACCCTGAACCTACTGGGACTGGAAACTCTCCTCGTGGATATGACCTGACGCTTCCTGCCCCAAGTCTAAGGGTCCTGAGTTTGCAGGGAGGGCCACCAGAGCTCTTTCTCCAAAGCCTCCTGTGTGTACGGCGGGGTGAGACTTCTCCGCGCTCGGACCTGAGAGCCCGCCCTGTGTCTGTCTGCTCGGAGCGGGCCTCGGAGGGAAGATCTTGTCACAGAGAGAGGAAACGTCAGCGAGGCAGGCTGCCGGCTCCTGCTAGGCACGCCGTGCGTCCTCCGGGTGACAGTGGTCAGACACTCCCAGGTGAAATGCTCGGCCAAAGGCAGACGCCACCAGGACACAGCAGGGCAGCCTCAGAGCCACCCCGACATCCGTCACTCCACGAGGCCCACGGTCTCCGGCAGTGTCCCCTCGTGGGGCTGAAAGCAACACTTCTGGGGTCAGACTCCACTCTTAGGAGCTAGATTTACATAAACAAGGGGAGGGGAAAAATCCCAAAGCAACCCTTGCCTCTACCTTCAAATGCTATTTCAAGAGGCCTGTATGGAAAAAAAAAAGGTCTCAAGACCATCTCGAAGTTAAAGTGCCTAGAAAAGCCCTAAGAAGTCAAAGCTGCACTTCCTTCCAAGGCTGCACGGGCCCTCCCGCCCCACCCTGGGGGGAGAGAGCCGCCAGCTGCCCAGCACCCCTGGGAAGACCCAAAAACCTACTGTCTCCCTCCAGAAATCAAACTGGATCGAACGTCCGTACAAAAATCTTCTATGTACAAGGATAAGTCTTTTGGGCACCTTAGAATAAAATCTTAACGCATTTCAACTAACCACTAAGAAAGCCAACGACACACGGCCGCGGGGGGAGAGCCCTGCAAGGACACGTGGCCCTGCTCTTATGGGGGGTGGAGGGAGCACAGCACACCCAGGGGTCGTGGTTGAACGTCTCCGGAGGGGCTGCGTTATCTTCAGGAGGCACCGGAGGAGGGGCCCACACACCCGTCAGCTGGATGTTATTTCTCTGAAACGCGTTCCATAGAGACTCGTCCTATCACTGGGCCCAGCATCGGGTAGAGGCGCTCCAGCCCGTGTGACCCGCCCCGCACAGGACAGGCAAACTGGCGACACAGCTGTGCTTTGTTTAGTGACATGGCCAGAGAGGCTGCCACCACACACACACACACACACACACACACACACACGCACATGTGCGCGTGCACGCACACGCCATTGCGAAAACAGCAGGGTTTCTGAAGCCCCAGCCCCCCAGGTCTCCTGGTGGAGCAGCTCACGCCGGCGCACTCGGGTCCTGCCGTGTTTCCCGTCATCTCTCTTACGATCACCCGGATGTGCGTTCCTCCGCTCATCCAATGCACGCTCTGCTCTGGAACATTCCAGGGAGGCATCCCCCACGAGGGGAACCTTGGAGGGCTGGAGGGCTTGGTATCTGGCGTGTGCTTGTCATGCTGGAGGAGGTGCAGCGGGGACACGGGACGAAGGACCAAGGCGGGAAGGACGGAGCCCCGCTGGCCTCATCAAGGTCAGCGCCCAAGAGCTGGGGCTGGGGTGGGGGAACCGGGCTCGCCAGGGCAGCTGGCAGGCTGGAGGCCTGCTGGCCAGACTGCGGTCCCTCGGGCTGGTCAGCTGTGCCTGGTACAAACCTAGGGGGAAGAGCCCCGGCTCCCGGCACCTGAGACGGCGAGGGGGTGTCTGCAGAATCCGCAGGAAAGTGGTCCAAGGGCTCAGGTGGCGGGAGGTACAGGCTTCCCCAGGCGGCCGGGGCAGAGGGCCCGACCCGCCAAAGCCCCCGCTACCCAGCCTCACGCAGTCACCGCCACAGGCGGCCTCTGCCACGGTGCCTGTAAGGCTGACACAGGTTCTTTTGTCTTTGTTGAAATAAAGGGCAGCGCTTCTCTTGTCTGCGCATCGTCAGGGGACTGACGGCCCCAAGCTACGGCCAGGGAGCAACGGGCGGAAGCGTCTCCACTCCAGGAGGAAGCTGTCGGCTGAGCGGGGACATCTCAGACGGCCTGACACACACACCTGAGTGCTACGCGGGTCCAACACAGCCACTCGGGGCCGTGCCGTCTCCCGGCGCCCACACACCTGGCCGCGGCCGGGCCTTCTGCGGCCGGGAAAGCACGTCCTCTGCCCCGGTCTCTCTCCTGTCCTGGAATAGCGGGTGTCTCTCTCCTCCTGGAGCTTCCTGGGACTCCCATCCCTGCTGCACGGAGAGGGGACCCAGCAAAGAGCCAGCACCAGCCGTGGACCGACACTCAGAGGCCCCCGCCCCCTCTGCTTGGCCCCCGCTCAGCGGGAACCCCACCGTGGGAGGAACCCAATCCCACCCTGCCGGGGGGCCCCCAATCATCACTCCTGACTGCCCTGTGTCACTGGCATGTGCCACCCCACAGCTGCCCTTCCCTACCCTCCCATGTGTGCCCCAGCCCCCGTTCAGCAGGAACCCCACCGTGGGAGGAACCCAATCCCACCCTGCCGGGGGGCCCCCAATCATCACTCCTGACTGCCCTGTGTCACTGGCATGTGCCACCCCACAGCTGCCCTTCCCTACCCTCCCATGTGTGCCCCAGCCTCTCCCGCAGGAGGCTACGATGGACACCGGCCCATCGTGGACCCAGCATCCTCCCTCCTGCGCCCCCTCGGTCCCACGTCGCAGGTCTGCTACTCGGGGATATGGACAGTCACCTCGGTGTTAGCTGTGTAATCCCAGGGACACTTTGGCACGCAGATGGGGGAGCAGACACAGGCAGAGGGGAGGCAGGGAAAACGGGCAACCAGATTCTTCTAACCGCTAATTCTAGGGCGGTGTGGGGCGCCTCTGGGTGCTGCCAATGTCATGCGGGGGCGGGGGGGGGGTGACAGCCAGCCGTGAGCCCGGGAGGGAGGCGCGCACCCACAGTCCTCCTGGGGGAGCCTCGGGCCACCTCCCGAGGCCTACTCGGTGGCCATCTGCTCGATGTGGTCACTCAGCAGCTTGTACTGCTCTGGAAGAGAAAACAACGTTATTCCTCGTGAGAGAGATGGCGACACGGACAGGCAGGTCCTTCTCATTCGGGGTGATAACAAAGCAGGCCCTCCCGGGCATGGTGAGTGTGGGCTTCTGAAGGTGTGCCCTCGGCCTGGCAGTGGGCTCCTTGGAACCGGGATGCATCTTCCCATGGCAATGACGCTCCAGAGGGCAGCCCCGCAGGCCCCCAGGAAGCCTGGTGTGGGCAGATGAACCCTATCACGGGAGCCAGGCTTGGGTCCTGGAGGCCACGCAGGGGTCATGTGGTGGAGGGCACAGTGTTCTCGGCTTGTGATGAGTGGTGGGGCGGGTGACAGCACTTTGAGATTTTCCAGGGGCACCTCCTAAGGCCACCTGTCCTTGGCCCTCTAACTTGGTCCAGGATGGAGTTTTATTTTTAAGCAATATCGATCTGCACAAATCTATGTCTAAGTGGAAGAGCTTTCAGGGGACAAGGAGGAAGCGGCTTGTAGCACGTGGGATGACGCCTAAAGGCCAGCTGTCGATCAGGGAAGCTGACATCAGCAACGTGTCCCCTCCCGTTACAGAAGCCAGAGATGCCGGAAAGACCTCAAGACCCCCGCCGCTCCCCCGAGACCTCCGGCAGCAGTGTCATTCAAGGAACGAAGACACGCCATGTGGTGGCCATTTAGAAGGAGGGGCAACTCAGGGCCAGAGTCTGCCCATTTTCAAGGTCAGAGTCTGAGCACCAAGTTATATCTTTCCCTGGGCCCTGTCTGTAAGCACTGACCTGGTGGGCCCCGCACCATCCTGCCCGACGTGGGCAAGCCCTACCTAGCAGAACTGGGTCTCCAAGTGGAAGGAAAAGTGTCCCACGCACGCAGGCGGACAGGAACGTTTAATGTCCCATTTGTAATTACAGCAGGGACAATCCTCTGAGCCGGGTGGGGATTCCAGCACGCAGCGCGCTTGCCCCTGAAACCCCGGCCCTGCCGCCACTCACCCTCGTCCAGGTTGCCGATCACCGCCTGCTTCTTCAGAAAGTCATTGCACAGCTTCTTGTTCAGCCCGAACGCCAGCATGTTGTGCGTGAATGTGCTGGGGGGGACACGGCCGTGAGCTGGCACCCCTCCCGCCTCCCGAGGGGAAGGGAGCCGGGGCCCAACATGCAGCCCACCGGGCCGGGGAATCGATAGAAAGATGTAAAACCAAATCGCCTCATCGGCCAGCCCTGCTCACCATGAAACCATGTTAGGGGCGGACTAATTAGGAACCGGAGTCAAGGCCAAATGGAGTGAATCGTGTGCTTCTGAGCCGTTTAAGAACGTGGTCTTAAAAGTGGTCGTTGGTCGTGACACTGAGTCAGGGATGTGTGACATCATAAGGGCGGTGCTCCCCCAGCAGAGCCCCCGGGTGGGAGCGTCTCACCCGGCGGTCCCTCCTCACACCACCCTGCTTGCTCATCTCCTGGGTGACCCGGGGTGGGGGTGGGCGTGGGCCCCGTCCGGGTCACGGGGGTGGGGGGTGGCTGGCTGGCCCTGGCGCTCACCCCAGCTGCCCGAAGGTGATGTTCTCGTTGAACCGCAGGCTGTCGTCCCGCTCCTCCTGGGTCATGTGGCACCACCTCTCTCTGCAAGCACAGGAGGGGCAGTGGAGGGGCTTCAGAGCCCACATCCCCGCCGCTTGGCCCTCCCGTGCTCTGACCCACAGGTGCTGGCCTCCCTGACAGAGAGGGGACACCTCTGCCGGAGAGCTGTGGGCGCTGCTTCTAGGAAGCCTGCCCGAAGGCTGCCCCTCTGCCTGGGGGCCCGAGACCCACACTCATCACCTTCTCCTGGCGGAGACAAGGCTCAGGACCCAGAGGCAGTGTGCGCTTAGCGGCTGCCCGCAACATTCTCCGGGGGACGAGAACGCTGCCCCCACATCCTTCTCTAAGGTTCAAGGACAACGGAGGCCGAGGCCCGTGTCACTGGTGGGGAGGCGTGCCGAGAAGCTGGCGGGGCAGGGAGCCCAGGAGCCCAGCGAGCGTCTGCGGCCTCTGGCCACACGCTGCCCGCCAGGCCGGCCCGCCTCTGCCGTTCACTGTGCTCCCAGGCTGCCTCGCAGGGTGCGGGGACGGGCCCGTGAGCACGGAGAAGACGGCACAGAGCCTCTAAGCAAAGCCGGGACCCCCAACGAGGAGGGACCACGGCCCGTGTGGCTCCACGTGCTCTCCGTGGAGCAGCATGGGGCTCAGGGGTCGGGCAGGGAAGGCGCTCTGCTGAGCTCTTTTTGAGCTCGGTGTCCCTGAGTGAGAGCGAACGCCGCCGCCCGATCCTGCAGGGCGTCAGCCCCGCCCCTTACGGCCGAGCACCCTTGTCCCCAGTGGCCCAGGACCGTCAGCCACTGCACCACTCCGCCTCCATTCCCCGGGGCACAGGAGCCGCGTGGCCACCTGAGAAGTGAGCAGATGCCTATTTCCCCCTGAAAATTACACTCTGGACAAGGAGTCTGACTAAAACAGGGCTGAGAGGAGAAAGACAAAAGAAAAGGGAGAGAAGAGGCAGTATGAGGGGGTGAGGGGTCAGGGCGATGCAGAAGCTGAAAGAAGAGGAACAGAACCAAGGACATCGACTCTTAACTCCTCTCCCCGCTTCCAGCCCAGGGAGGCTACTGGTGCCGCTGCAGCTGAGCGGGAGCCACGGGACACCAGGGCGCGACAGAGGCCGGCACTGTCAGTCTCCCAGTCTCCTCATGCTGACAGGACACCCACGAAGATACCTGGAATGTGCTTCCAGGCACTATGCTAATCCCATGCCATGTTCTTTCCCATCCTTTTTCCCTGAGTGGTCACCCTTAGAATCGTCCAGGCACATAAACTCCCACACCACCACCAGGCTCGCTGGGTACAGTTGCGCAGGTTGTGCACTGCATAACCCCAGACCACATGCAAGTGGCTCCCTTGCAGGCATGCAGCACAGCAGCCCTGACCCAGATGAGGAGGTGAGTCTTTTTGCTGTGGCGAGGACTAGAGTTGGGACATTTTATCTGATCTCTGAAGAAATAGGTAGAAGGTCATTTGGGATCAGGGGATGCCTACCAACAAATCAATTCCTTAAAATTGAGTTCAACACCCAATACTGGTCAAGGTCTAATACCACAGGAGGGCAGATTGTGTGTCTAAATTGCCACAGTGGGAATTCGGATGTGTCCAGCAGCTTACAGAACAGGAAGCCTCCCAAAATGGGGACATTTCTGCCTCTGAGAGCAGAGAGGGTGCTGATGGTGCTGTCGGCAGAGTCTGCCAAAGAGGAATCATGCTGGAGGCACAAGGTTGCCCAAGGACCCAGAGCCAACCCCCGGCCCCCAGTCTCGGGGTGTCCTGGGGGTCAGATCTGGGATGTGCATGGCCAGACCACATCTGCTCTGGGTGAGGAGGCCTGTGAGGCCCAGAGGCTCACTTCCCCTCGTGGGGCTCAGAGGTCACGATGCTCCAGCCCTGTCGGGTCTCGGCTGTGGAGCTGGGAAGCCTTGCTCCAGGAAGGCTGGTTAATTACACACACACCCCCGCCCCCCAGAGAGTCTGTGGGAACTTGGGGGCTTTTTAGGAGCGGAGGTAGCTGCCACGCCTAAATGCTCCTTTTAAAGCCATAATAAGGCTGCATTAAAAAAAAAACAAGATTTCTCATTAAAACAGTAAGCACTAAAAATACATCACTGATTAAAGGAAGCATGCTTTGGGAAATTTCCACCAAATTAAAAAAAAGCACTGAATCAGAAACTATATTTTGAATAGCAGGCCTTTCACTCTAAAAATATCTTAACCAAGATATCGAACACATATCAAGTTCAAACAATTGCAGTCAGACCCCACCGTGGGCTCGCAGGAAATAGCCTGTTCTAGACCTTTGTCTTCAGGGGACCCCCTCACACACACAGGCCTCACACCACACAGTGGCTGGGGGGAGGGGGCGCTGTCCTTTCTCCGGGACCCCCCAGACCTGTCAGAGTGGGCGAGGGTCTGCCAGAGCCCGCAGGCCCCTAGGCATGACTGCAGGGACAAGTCCTCTGGCCCGACCTGCGGCTCCTGAGCCCGGATCAATGACCGAGTGGACAACAAAGGAACCCAAGGGTGTGGTTTCGGGGTCCGCTGGGAGGGCCAGAGTGGCCCACGGAGGCTGGATTCGCTCCAGGTCGGAGCTGGCCTCCTGGACCTCACTGCCCTCTCCTCTCGGGATGCGCACTGGGCCTCGTGGGGGTCTCGGGGGCTGTGTCTGTCTCCTGACCATTTCGGTGTCTCTATGCTCGGCGAGCTCCCCACTGCCTGTCGCCAGCCTGTCCCAGCGCTGGGCCCACCGGCCGCGGGTCACGCCCACGTCTGGTCACACCCCCCTCCCCTCCGACCCAGCGGCCCCGGAAGGGCCCCCGCACTGTCCATGGACGGTCACGTGGACACACACCTCTTATCCTCCTCCTCTCCAGCATCCCCTCTGGAGCGGCAGCAGAAACAGGTAAACAGAGGAACACGTCAGAGTCATGCAAGATATATGTGGGTGGAAAAGAGAGCAAGCGCGGAAGGAGGGTTACCACAGCGGAGACGGATATGGAGACGGGGTTCCGGGCGGCGGTGGCCCAGGAGTCTGAGAGCAAAGCAACACGAGGATCCCCCTCGCCTACAGACACTTCCTGCCTCTGCGACTCCCAGAGGGGCGGAGAACTCTCTCTCTAGAACCCTTAGGAATGGTCCAGCATCACTTCCTCTCCACGTGCTCCCCTGCCCTCCCGGGACACACAGCCACAGCAGGCCGCCGTGGGGTACAAGGCAGGTCATCCTGATAGGGTTTACTACCCCCGCAAAAAAGATTTCACTTAAGATCCCCCAAGTGCTCGTGGAATAAAGCCTTAAATAGCAGGCACCTGCCCTCTCTCCTGCCGGGAGAAAGGTTAAGGGGTCTCCCCAGGGTCAAAGAAGGTGGGGATTCATTTCATCAATGAGGAGAGACTCAGACTTCAAAGTCCCATGACTGGAGGGGGCCAACAAGGTGACCCGGGCCTGGGAGGCCGCTGCCTCTTCCCCGCACCGCCGCTGCACACGGCAGGCACCAGCCTTAGCTCGCCGCCGTGGCCAGAGAGAGCTGAGCACCCGTGCCCAGCCCTCGCCGCCGCCCAGTGCTTAGAGAACCGGTTTACAAAGGGAGTCTTCCGAAGTGGCAAGACTGCCCTCGGGGAAGCTGCAGCCCAGAGGAGTAAGTTGACAGTAGCGACTGCCCTTCCCAGACGTGAGCCCAGCGCCCAGGGTCCCGCGGCAGTGGTCTCAGCTCGGGAGTCTGGAGTCTCACAGAGACAGGCAGAGTGGGTCCGAGGGGGGCCCCGTGGGCTTCACTCAGTGGGAGTCTGCATTTCTTAGGAGGGTCAGGCCGAGTCATGCCGGAGCCCCGGGGCAGGAAGCGCTCATGCAAGCTGGGCCCCCCACCCATGAAGCGGTGTGGCCGGGACCCTTCAGGCAGCTTGCAGGGCACCGGGGCCGCAAGGGGTTGAGGAAGAAACACAGACGCATCGACTCAGCCGTTCTGTCCTCCTGCTTTCCTCTTCAGAAACAGGACAATAAAGCCTCGCCCTGGTCCTCTTCCCTGAGGCAAAGCGGGCCTGGACTTGGCTCCTACCTGGTGGTGGGAGACCGCTTTCTCCTCTCACAGTGGACAGCGTCGAAAAAGGCCGCGTTCCAGAACCTCAGCGTATGCCTGCAAGACAGACAAGGCCCATGTGCCTTTATCCTAAATGGAGCTGGTTTCCCCGCAACCACCCGGCAAAGTGTCCTGAGGGCATCTGTGCGTCTCTCCCAGGACTCAGCCTGGACTCATCAGGTCAAAGGGGAAGCCACCACCAGCAGGATGTGGGCGAAGGCCATTTCCCCTTCTCTGTCTCCGGCTGAGGCTCCCAACAGGAAGCAGAGGCTTTGAGGAGACCTGCTTCTCTAGAACACGGTCTAGTAACATAAGTGGGAACCCCTGGCAGGGACAGACCACGTGCAGAGAGCAAACACATTTATAGCGACACACAAGGAAGAGGCATTCTTCCCAAGGATCAGGGTCAGCAGACCTACGGCACGTGGGCCAAGTCCGGCCTGCTCTCTGTCTGTGTAAATCAAGCTTTATGGGATCACAGCCACACCCCTCCACTTACATCCTGTCCACGGTGGCTCTGGCACTACAGCAGTGGAGTGCAGTGGTTGCCTGTAAAGCCTAAAATACTTACCACCCAGCTCTGTACAGAAAAGTGGGGCTGAGCCCTGTTGCAGATAAGACAGCAGCGGAGCCTAGAGGGGCCCAAGCTACGTCACAGACAGTGGGACCGGGGCTGCTGGGCTCCTTCTCCCTGCTTCCCCCCGAGGCTGGCCCTGCAGGGTGGGCCCTCCTCGCGGAGGCTTCGGGACAGCTGCAGCCCCGCCCTGGCCGGCCGTCTGCCTCATGCACCCCATTCTGCTGCACCAGGTTCTCCCACCGCAGCTAGACTGTGATCCTCGGGGGAGGGGCACGTCTGACACCCTTTGGGTTCCAGGGGCTACTACACCGCCTACTTCTGAGGAAATAAAAGCCGCCGACGGAGAGGCTTCAGAGGGACAAGAGCGTCCTCAGAGAAAGACAGAGGGCGAGATGTCCCCTGACCACTGGTCTCCCACTGCAACCACGACCGTCACGTGTGTACATTATAGACACATACAGAACAGCTGTACTAGGATATGTCACGTACCGTAAAATGCACGCTTTTCAAGTACACAATTCAGTGGGTTTTAGGACATCCACAGACTTGTACAACCATTGCCACTATCCATTTCTGGGACATTTTCATCACCGCACTCCCGGCTTCCCCCAGCCCCTGGCCACCACCAATCTGCTCTGTCTCCAGGGCTTTGCCTCCTGGACGTTTTGTGTACATACACTACGTGGTCTTTTGTGTCTGGCCTGGGTCAGAATGTTTTCCAGGTCCACCCACGTCGTGGCAGGTGTGGGTGCCTCATTCCTTTACGTGGCTGAGTGATAGCCCACATTTCGTGTATCTACCTTTGGGCTCTTACGAATAACACTGTCATGAACATACGTGCACAGGTTTTTGCTTGAGTACCTGTTTTCAACTCTTTTCAGTATCTACCCAGGAGTAAAACTGCCGGGGTCATGGGCTAAAACTCTGTTTAACGGCTGCCCGACCATTCTCTGCAGTGGCTGCTGCATGGGACAAGCCCACCAGCCGTGTACGAGTTTCCAATTTCCCTGCATCCTCGCCCATCTTTTCTCCTTTGGCTCTCCTAGGGGGCGTGAGTGGCCTTCACTTCTTTTGTTTGCTTGCTTGTTTGTTTGTTTTGCGATACGCGCGGGCCTCTCACTGCTGCGGCCTCTCCCGCCGCGGAGCACAGGCTCCGG